ACACGGCGCGGAGCTGCTTGCTGCCCGTGCTGGCTTCTCCCGGCTCCCTCTGCTTGCTTTGCGCATTGCCCCTGAGGTAGCTGCTAGCGGGGTCATTTCAGACAGGATTTTGAAAAAAAAAATTAAATAAATAAATAAAAATAAAAAAAAAAAATCTGGATCACTTACAGGTAACTCCCACTGGTAAGGATGAGGAAAATCTGAGGGTAATACACTGAGAGTAACACACTGCGAGATGAAAAAAGGATCATGGCTGAATCCCGTTTACACTCTTGGAGTTCGCTTCCTTGGTTATTCCTTTCTGGCCCCCCCTGGTCGTAATTCCCCACCCTTTTTGGTGTCAGCTGTGGCTTGAATCTGAGTTGGAATCCAGTCCCTTGGGCTTGGGGGGGCTTTGTCTGTTTGTTTGTTTGTTTGTTTGTATTGTTGTGTCTAGTATTCCCCTGGTGCTAATGCTGCTCCCTGTGCAGAGTATGTGCTGCTGCTGCTGCTCTCGCTGCTGCTGCTGCCTCTGGGCTCCTGCCTGTCATGTCTCAGTGGTTGGAAGTTGTTACAGTGGGTTCTCGTGTTGGAATGAGGATGGTTTAAGGGATTTGGATGGCAGAAAGTGCCTCTCTCTCTCTCTCTCCCTCTCTCTGTAACTCTCCTGAGACTCGGGGCTGCCATTGGGCAGTCAGTCACTGCAATCCGCCTACTTTTTTTCTCTCTTCTCCCCCTTTTTTTTTTTTTTCTTTCTTTCTTTTTTTTTTTTTAGAGGGGAGGATGACAATGGAGAGACACTGATCTAGTCTAGCCCGGGCTGCAATAAACCCGCGCTCCCTGGCCGAGCCCTCTCCGCACGCCTCACTCCCCAAACCCTCCTCACCCGCCTCACTTCATGGGGCGTTTTTAAAGCTCTCCCTCGGCGGGCTGCGAGAGGCTGGCTCCCTGCATCTGCCGTGGCACCCTTTCAGCTCGCCCTGGGAGAGATCCTGCAGGGGCTGGCAGCTCCCAGCTCCGCTCTCGGTTAATTGCTTTATTATGGGCGGCTGCCCCAGTTCCCCCGAAGGACTCCGCCGTCCCTCCATCCTCGGCAGGGGTTTGTTTGGCTCTCCTTGGCCCCGGTGTGGAAAAATAAGCTCCGGTTTCAGGGGGATCTTTAAAAATAAATAAATAAAGTATATGTTGTCCTAGCCCGCCTGAGTGAGAAATAAAGATATGCACACTCGTAGCTTCCTGGCTAGCTTGGATTTGGCGTGAGAAGGGGAGGGAGAGGACTGGTGTGAAACGACCGGTGTAAGGGGGCGAGCAGCGCCTCGCCGGGCTCGCAGCGTCTGCCAAGCGCCTGCCGGGTCCCCGCAGCCCTCGCCGCTCCCGCAGGAAGAGCTGGCGTTTCCTCTCTTCCCTTTCTCCTTCCTGAGAAGATGCCAGTCAGAAGAGACGTTTCCCTGCAGGTTAGTTGCCTCTCCCTTGCCTTTCTCCCAGCCGAGCGGCTTCTTACCCCCCTCGGCACCGCCGCGCCGTGGGGATGCTCGACCCTTCCCCGCCCCGTATAACCATGCAGGAGACAGTCGCTCTTCCTCTTTGCCTCGTTGGACATTTGTCCCTTTTTTTTGCGTGGCGGAGAGGAGGGAAGAAAGCAAAAAAAAGAACTTTTAGTGCTGGAAGGCTTGGTGGACAGACGTGCGCTGCAGATGCCGGGGTTCGGGCTTGAAAACGAACTCCGACAGAGAAACGTGCGCCGCAGATAACTGATCACAAATGTAGCCGAAATGAGCTAGAACCGGGCTCCGAAGTCTCCTGGGTCCGTAGCGTTTGTAAATGTTCGTTTCAGGTTAATTATCTAATGACCGCAGGAGTTTTCTTGGCAAAGAGCTCTTCCAGGCACCCTGGGAGCACCTCCTCCAGTTAACCAGACCCAGGACGTGGGTCCAGCTTTCCCCGTGACACAACGAAATATTCCTTCAGATGGAATCGGGATTGCACAAGTGGTGTGACAACGTTGTCTGCCGGCCAATATACGATTAAAAATCTTCTCGGGGTTTGGTTTAATTTAGCCACTTTCATCCACAAGTTCAGTGCAGACGCTGGGACGTCCTTTTGTGAAACACTAATATCGACCACTAAGAGACAGAAGCTTAATCATTTCAACGATTATTTGCATCCCGAAATAATCTTGTTTCTATTTCTTTCAGATACTGAAATCGTCGTATTTATATTTCTGTAAGTGTGTGCGTATGTATATACATATGGGCACACAGATGTGTATCTCCTGTAATGCCCGTTCTCCCTCTCAGACCTTCAGGCTGGGGCTGGGGCAGCTGCGCTGGAAGTGAACTGGGAGAGCCGGGAGAGACTTTTGATGGTTTATTTCTATTATTTGTTCTGCTTCAGACATATATATATATATGTATTTTTTAATGTGCCTCTGCTTTTAAAGATGCGCGTGGGGGAAAGAAGAAGAACAAGAAAAAGTGAATTGTAAAAAATAAAAAGGAAAGGCTGGCTCCGGAAAAGTGGTGCTGGCAGAGTTCGAACCAGTCCAGCTGAAACGGAGACGTTTACAGATCTTCACAATTTTCAGATCGAAGCCGGTTTTATCCCCGAGCTTGCCTCGGGGAGGAGTGAGGGGCGGCAGAAACTTGTATAAAAGAAATCAAATTGTGCCGTTTCTTTTCTGGAAGCTAAATTTTATTCTAAATTGTATTCTAAAAGCTTGGGTCGGTTTTTCTGTTGCAAAATTCATTATTATGATGATGCTAATAAGAATAATCTAAATGTCATCCAAATGGCAGCATGGCAGCCGGGGGTAGTGAGAAGTGCACTTGTTTTGTTGATTGAAGCCAAACATATTCCCTTCGATAAACATTATGTGGCACAGGAGGAAAGGGTATTGTCGGTAACACCTAATATAGGCATTTCAGCATCTGTCGTTCCTTCTTCCACCAACACGTTTTATTTTGGACAAAATAGTGGCAGGAGGGCACTGAAATGGTTGCCGACACCACAGATGGGGCAGATGAAGCAGAGCGGGCATGAATAAATTATTTACTTTTACATTTTTTTTCCCCTTGTATCTCTTTATTCCCAGCTGTGGTTTCTTTCCTATCCCAAACCCGGGAAGTGTCCGCCACAATAGCACGTCGGAAGCCGGTGAGAGCTCTGAAGGCACGCCCGGTAGGCAACACACTAGGCTCCTTTCTGGTCAGAATGCGGTGTATCTTGTAGCTCACAGAACTGCTAGTTTAGTAGCAGGGGAAAGAAGCAGAGAGGAATGATGAGTCGCTTGAAATAAGCGGATGTCCGGTTGGCGAGGAGGGGGAGGAGTGGCGGCGGAAAAACGGAGGGTGCCCGTGGAGGGGCCGGGGACCGGGTAGTCCCTCCGGGGGGACAGTCCGAGGCTCCGAGCATAAATCGCACCCGTCTCCTCTTGGGACCCGGGGTCTCGCCGGGTCTCCTGGCGCTGCCACGTGGTGCCCGTCGTCGAGGGCGAGGGAAGCGGGATTTCGTTGGCGTTTACTGCAGACTCCGCAAAACCAGGACGAGCTTCGCTGTAGGGGCGAGAAGCGAGGTCAGCTGGCCCGTTCTTCGCCACAGCGTTCCCGGGAGTCCGGACAGGACTCCAGCCGCCCCAGGATGGGCAGGGCTGCCCGGCGTCCGCAGCTCTGTGAACCCTCAGCTCCGCTCGACTTTGCCGCAGGGGCACGGAGGAAGCGGCCCCGCCGCCCTTCCAAGGGGTGCAGGTGCCTTGCATCGCTCCCTTGGGCAACGCCAACTCCCTCCGCCTGCATCCCTCGAACATCCCTTGACCTGCTCCCCGCAGGAGGAAGCGTGTCTTCTCCGCTCCCCTTGGCGCTGCCCTGGCTGTCCCTCTTCTTTCCTTCTAGGAAAGATGAAGAGGAAAAGGGTGGGCTTTGCCCCCGGAGCCCTGATCCGGGCACTGCCCGCGGCTCCGTCTTTTCAAAGGTTACACCGCTCGTCCCCAGAGCATCCGCTGTGATTTGCATCTGTGGTACAGCTGTGATTTTTAACTTCCGACGTATTTATTAATTAAAGTGGAGCCGAGCGCTTTGCGATCTTGGCAGGAAATATTTCTGTTTCTGCCCTGCTGCTAGCCGGGGTCAATATCTGGTGTGATCCATTTCCACGAGGAGATCCGTGGAGTCAGCAAGGGCTCCAGACACTTTACGCTTCGCTGCCTGAACGGAAACGTCATCGACAGAAGTATCAAGGGCTGTTTCAACTGACGCATCTCTCTCCGGCAAACTCGGAGATAGGAAGTAGATACGGTAACAACGGGGATTCCCTCAGAGGGGCGACTGCCTAAGCGGGATGTCGCTCTCTCCTCCTAACTAGACACACCAGCTTCTTTGTACCCTGCCGTGTCACCCCGAGGGACACCGCCTCCCCCCCGTCCAACATCTGGGTGAATACCTTCGAAGTTCTTCCGTTTTTCTCGGTCTCATGTTTGCCACCGAAAGTGGAACTTTCAGCACGTTTTATTAAGACAGAAACACGTGTTCGCTCCTCAGCAAAGGGGAAAAAAAAAACAAAAAGGCGTGTCAAGTCTAACCTCTTGCTGTCGCTGGCACAATGACTCTCTACTTCACGCTGCAAAATAAACCTAATGCACTGGAAGACAAACTACGTTTTATCTCACTTCATCTCCCCCCCACCCCCCCATCATCCCCATCCCCTTTTCTATGCAAAGAGCTCACTAGAAAAGGTATCATTACACTCAAAGGATATGGTTTCAACAAAATGGTAGTTCCAGTGGCTGATGAAAGAGGAAATAATTACATCCCACATGCCTAGCCTAGAAGTAGCCCTGGACCTCAGAGTAAATTTCTCTCCTATTGTTAAGAGAAAGTGTAGTATCCTCATCGTCTTACAGGCATGGTGATGGATCTGATGGGGTTTCTGTAAGAGCTTTTACTGTTCCTGCTGTTCACTCAGTTTTACTTCCAGGCTCAGTCCAACTGCATTCTTGTGATTTTTGCTCTGAATCCCCTTCTAAAACAGCCACAATCTATTTCGAAAACAGATTTGCCTTCCAGGCTGTAACATGTGCCCAATCTTCTGTTCCCTTTAAAAATAAAACCGCAATGAAAATGAATAGCAATATCGTTACCCCTGTTTTGCAAAGTATTTGCTTCGAGCGCGCCTCTCTGTGAGGGACGCGTTGTACGAAGTCCTCCAGCTATTGAAGCACACGGGGGTGCCCCCGTTATAGCTTCATGTGCGGATACACATCCTCACCAAATTCACTTCTCATCCAAGCCCCTGCCTCTCTGAGCCTGGAGGAGGACAGAGCCCCTCGCTGCCGACCACCGCTACAACAAAGGGAGCCGACAGCTGTGATTTTTAACTTCCGACGTATTTATTAATTAAAGTGGAGCCGAGCGCTTTGCGATCTTGGCAGGAAATATTTCTGTTTCTGCCCTGCTGCTAGCCGGGGTCAATATCTGGTGTGATCCATTTCCACGAGGAGATCCGTGGAGTCAGCAAGGGCTCCAGACACTTTACGCTTCGCTGCCTGAACGGAAACGTCATCGACAGAAGTATCAAGGGCTGTTTCAACTGACGCATCTCTCTCCGG